ATTTTTTGTGGAGAAATCAGGGAATTCTGATGGAATTTCATTGGGATTTTATTTTTAAATTCTCTCTTTGATAATTTTGCTCTTATACTGTAAGCAGTAGGCAATCCGCTAATAAGCCAAGTTGTGAATTATGTGTTTAAAATATCATAAATATATCTCTATGTCTCTGTTTAAATATTTAATGTCTTAAAAAAATATTGAATATACAGTACACATTTTAATTAATTTAATTTAGTTGTAATGTTTAGTGATAAAATATGAAATTAATAAGTGGCTTTGTGTTTTTTCTTCGAAAAGCATTAGAAAGCAATAAAAAAAATTATTTTAGGAAATTGCATCAAAAAATCTTTAAGCGAGTGAAAAAACGTCCCTGAATATGAAAGGACACCATTGACAGTTTCGAAAGGCTACCACGTGTCCCTTTCCCAGCGCAATCACGTCGCTTTCCCCTCGTTCGCCGACGACAATAACAGTAACGTTTCGTGCGATTCGCGAGCCTCGGACAACGCAACTGTCGTGTACGCTCCTTCTCGCTGTGCACACACAGAAATCGTGTATGTGCACACGCTCGATGTCTGCCCCTGAGATTCCCCGACCTATCATCATCGGGGCAGAGTAACCGCAGACCGATCGATTCGGGGAACTCTCTAATTTGCCTTTTCAAGTTCGCCCGTTGCAGGGAAAGAAGGACCGAGTGTATGATATATCAGGTAGCGGGCCGTGTGTTAGAATTTATGGATACGCTTCGGAAATATTTCCACAAGCAATTACGATGTGTCCGTAAAGCTTGGGGCAGGTGCCGACGTATAGCTTTTACCCTCGTTCTTCTTCTCTCGTAAAGATTCGATATTTAATTTCGTATCTGCATATATTGCAAAATACTTTAAAGCCAAATATATTAGAATTATATTTTATAATTTGCAAATAAATTATTTAATATAAGTTATTTATATAATTTATTTATTTTTTCATACTTTGTATAATTTACAATAATATAACACTCTTTGATTTATAAAAAGACGATAGAGTTATAAATATATATATTTTTTTTAATCTGTATAATAAATTGAAAAAGAAATATATTTATTTGTATAATAAATATACTGATTACGCAGAAATTTAATAGTTTTAATTGGTTGGTTTTAAAACCGAGCATTGGTCGAATAAGAAATGAAAGGATAAGACGGGAGAAAAATCGTATAATTATGCGACGGTCGCGCAATTGGAAGACCGAATGTAAATCCGGCATCAACCCAATGACCGCAAGCATACCGGTACATTTAATATGATAATCGACGGTGCGCGCGTATTAGATCGTGCTTCGGTCTGTCTGTGAACCGGTTCCGCGATGCGATGAAGACGGATTAAGGTCGATTCATATTAAGCGACATGACGCGATGCATGTTGCTTTACAAGACGAAATATTCGAAAGTGTATAAAGAAAATCGCAGCGTCTTCATTTTCATCATAATGCCAGGGAAAGGCATTACAATGAGTCATAATTCATGTATTATTCAAGTAAATTTTTAATTTTTTTTTTAAATATTATTTTATATAAAATTCTGCATTTTATGCATAATATATTTGAAACTTTATTATTTGACGGGTTACTCTATTCTTACATACCACCATATGTATGATGATCACATCTGATAAAAAAAAATATATATATGATATATATATTTATCTATTTTTAAAATGATATATTAATATTAAAATATTAAAAATATTTGATAAAAATTAAAATTTTTTAAATTTAAATATTATAATTATAAAC